TGCTTTTCTGCAGTGTCTCCACTGAAGTCTATAGAACCAAAAAAACTACGTTTTGCATTTAAAAAAGTCCCTGACCATTTCCAAAAAACGCACTGGGTGAAAACGCGGAGATGTGAACGTATCCCATAGGAAATCTGGTTAAATGGATTGCTGTGCGTTTCCTTAAATTGCAAAACGCTGCAGGAAACACTTAGGTGTGAACCTAGGCTTGAGGTTGCCTGCCCCTGATGTAATGTTTTGTCTAGCCAAAACATTTTGAGATTAGGGAGGAATTAGGACCCTTGCTGTGTTTTCACTGTTCTATGGGGATCTGTTAGGAGGAAATTTCCTCACTGCGTGTCACAGTGACAGTGGTTTCACCAGATACAAAGTGGGAGATAATCTGCAACAGGTATAAAATAAAAAAATCCCAGAGAGTAAAAACCCAACTCAAGGTCTAACCTATTCCCCACTGTATTTAATGTACTGGACATGCAATATAATGAGAGAAAGGAAATTATGCAGTTAGGAAAAGGAGGTGGATTGTCAGTTGATGATGCTTGAGATGGACATCAGGATAATTGGCTAGGGTCTAAGATACATCATATTTATTGTAGCACCTTCTAAAATAAAATCTGGAGTTGGATTACATCTCATTTTGAAGTTTAAGTCTTGGTTCACACTACTGCGACCTGAAAGTCGTGCGACTTAAAGTACAACTCTTGCCAGGCGACTTGAGTACTACTTTGATGCGACTTGACATGACTTTGAAGTGAATCTGAAGCGACTTTGAAGTGGCTTTCAGGGAATGCCTGGGTAATCTTCCAGTAATGTCGGATCCAAATCACATCAATATACAGTAGATGAGGATCCGACTTGAAGACGACTTCCATTAAAGTCTATGCAACAAGTCGGATAGAAGTCGCCTTAAAGTAGCACAGGAACCTTTTCTAAAGTTGGAGTGACTAATTAAGACAGCTCTCATTGACTAATATGGGATTTCACATGTCATGCGACTTGTCCCACAAGTCGGATCCCAGGTCGCGGCAGTGCGAACCAAGCCTTAAAATGTTTCCTATCAATCAAGCTTCTACAAGAAAGTAACTTTTAATCATTGACTAGAAGGGTATACAGTGATACTTTTACTGGGCTGGCAGGAAGATTCATAGTTGCGTCACTGCTCTTCACTTGCTCCTCTTTGAGATACCAGAAGCAGTAGGAAATAATAGGGAAGAGTATACTGTATCTGTACTTGTTACTGCTTGTCATTGATGTATCCTGAATTCCTGATGATTGTTTCAGCAGTAGTTTAGCATTCTCATACAAAGCACCATAATTGTGTGCCATTTTGTGTCTCACATCTTGCTCATTGGACAAGAAAGTGATTTTTTTATTGCAAATTAGTTAATATTTAGAATATCCCAAGTCAGGAATGTTAAAATAATAATGCCAGAAATAGCACTGGAGGTTAAAAAATGTTGTTGAGTTAAAATGAGGCTGAGATTTACCTGAAATTTATAGCATTTTAGCATGGCAATAAAATAAGTTCTAAATATATATATATAAACCTGTGCTAATAAGAACCACAACAGATAATCAATAATCAGAAATGAGGTGTAAAACATATAGCAGCTAAACACAAAAACCCTGATACTAGGCAATCAACAATCAATACATAAAAGTGCAGCGCTTAAAAAGTTACAAATAATCATAAGAAAACAGTGAAAAATGTGTGAAAAAAAATAGTCCATCCAAAAATAAAATAAAAGAAAAGTGCCCCTGATGACGTTACCTGTGACAAAACACGTAGGGTGGAGCCACGTACACATGCTACTGCGCCGGTGGCCATTTTGGAAATTGGAAAATTTTGTTTTTTTTGCCAATCAAAGCCTAATGATTGCTTACATGTCCATTGTTTGGAAAATCCTTGTCTGCTGTTTTGGTGATCTGGAGGAGGATTCAAGTAACTGCCTTTCTGGATTGTTTAAAAAAGCGTGATTGACCACTCTTAACAGGGGGTCATGCCTTTCTGGTAAGCCTTCTGTAGTAGTGGTTGGTGACAAAACAACTGTCCTTGGTTTTCTTTTTTTCATCACAGCCTCTGGGACTTTTATTTTATTTTTGGGTGGACTATTTTTTTGACACATTTTTCACTGTTTTCTTTTTTTTTTAAGCACAGCACTTTTATGTAATTAATAAAATGAGTTAGATATCAGACATCAGTACATTAAATATTATCAATTTAGTGGGTGAACACTCAGGTCACTTTCACTCTATTTGGGAGCTATGGCATCATTCTCCCTTTGGTAGACTTCCTGTGAAAGCATGAAATCCATGCTGGAGAATAACTGACAGAGAAAGACCTCAGTAAGTGACCTCCTCTTAAAGGGCCAGTATTCTTCAGTACTTCCAGTCTAGTGTTTACATGTTCTCCCATTTTGATGTTCTTTTAAATTTGGTGTTTTCATCATTTTCGTATACTTACCAGAGCTCTGTGTAAAATGTATTGTTTGGAGCATCATCATATTTAGGATAATAAAGCTAGAATAAAAGCAGGTAACCTGCCACAATATATACTCATTAACTGTTACACATACTCTCACTAGGTTCAGATTAGATTGCTAAGCAGAAGAGTAGGCAAGAGGCAGAAGGCCCCTAGGGTAGGTAACTTTTCTAGCCCCTTTGCATTGTTTGATTTAAATTTACTAGATTAACAAATTTAAAAACATAGAACATGTGTCAGTGACTATCATTACTATATATAATTACCAGTTGAATCATGCAGAGAAATGGGAATTTTTTTCTTGCCAATATACATCTAAAAAGTAGTACCCCTTACCCAAGAATCACATTCAGTTTACTGCAGTTTTATTGACCAGGACAGTCATACAAATAGATGTTAGTCAGGCAATTCTCTGAACCACATCCAATCCACATGACGTGAAATAACATTGCTTCCTATGGTGTCAGTTCACATTTGTCCAGTGCACTGCCAATCCTTAAAAAAGAGTCCTGTCCAGTTTCTGAGCAGTGCCTTCAGGTTCAGGTGTGGATTACAGGCTATTGATTTCTATAGGAACCATTTCTAAACCGCACAGGTTATCAGTTCTGACCAGGAAAAAATCCTGACCTGAACCTGATCTAAACCTGCCCTGAACCTGATGTAAACCTGACCTGAACTACTGATCAACTATTGTGTCAATTAGCTGTAAAAACCTGAGCTTCAACATGTGTGAATCCACAAATAAATTTTGCTGGTCAGTTGCCCAAAAAAGAAAAAAACAGACAACTTCCTACTAATAATAGTCTCTTAATATTGGTTTAACACTTTGGTGACAGGAAGAAGAGGTCAGGCATGACTAAAGCAACACTGGTCTAGAATAGTGGGTTACCGCAGCTTGTTCTACTGTTCCCCTAGTTTACCCTAAGGGAGATAAATACAAAGGTAAAAATCCTTTTACCTTAATACCGTTTTGTTGCCTGTGTTATTTGTATTTTAATATTTACTCCTTTTCATCGTTTTGTCTCTTCCATCCTTACACCTTTATGTGTTTCTCTCATTCTCACTGCTACCTAACTTCCTGCCCAAGTGGAGTTTTTAACACTTCATGGTGCAACCACAAACACAAGCTGCTGCTTTTGTATGTGAAGTCATATCCTCAGTACAGAGTTTACAGCCGAACTCCAGGTAAACCAATGAATACCAAGTTGAAATATATATTGTTCAGACAGTCAGTTGGCAGAAAGTACAGCCAGGTCATGGGCTTTCCTGCAAACTATAGTGCACAAAGCAAGGTGGACTGGTCCAGAACACACTGCAGACCTTATGGGTGAAAATCTAATTCTAAGGCACTGCAGACACCTTGGTTTGGGAGAAGAGCAATATCCTAAAGCATTTTTTACCTTTTTCAGGCAGTTAGGTCAATGGGGTTGATGAGTTTGTAGGAGGTGGGTTAGATGGGGGTCTGCCATTTTCATCAATGCCCTAGGACAAGGCTGAAGTTGCCATTGGGGAATATTCAACTTTAAGGTGGGTCTCTACTCTTTGAGTTGACCATACACCATGTACACTTGCACCATAACCATCCTTCAGTTAACTCTTGGGTCCTCGTGACAAGGTACTCTGTCTCTGTAGTTTGCATTTAAGAGATACATACTGAGCCCTGTCCACATCAACCTGTCCTGTGTTTTCCACTACTTTTTCCAATAGCAGAACGGGATCACCTAGCGCAGACTCCTTACATGCACTTGAGTTAACTCTTCAGCTTCTGTGTGACGTGTACTGGATGACCACCTTGACTTCACCACACACTCCCATTGCTATGGGAGACAACACAGGTGGGAAGGAGTGCCGACAACATCTCCCTCACTATGTGTATAGTGAAATTAAATCAGCCTTTTTAACTGGAAAGGACATAATCAGTAACAAATATTTTTTTAATGTTTGCCATTAAAATAGAAAAAGGAAGTCTTTGTGACAGTAGTTGAGCTGTGGTGCATAATCAAATGATATTCTAATTGTACAATTTACATTTACCAATCAAAATTGTAACATAATTCGCAAGTATAACAGAAACATATGAGCTGCATTATGCTTTGGATTTAGAGGGCTTGGCTCCTCCCACTAATAACTACTAATTCAGTTCACCGTTCATAATACGCAGAACTGGAGGTAATGGTGCCAACTCTTAGCGCAAATCCTGGTCTGTTGGTCATTTTAAGTCCTTAATATTACCTTATTTTTATACTAAAGTTATTTCTAAAATGCTAGCTACATCACGTGTCCAAAAACAGTGCAAATCTAATGCTTTACAGGCCTTTAATCTTAAACTCAAAATTAATTTCTTTAGTCTAAAGAGGACCCATGGCCCACATCAAAAACAACATTCGAGGTCTAATGATAAGCTCTGAACAGATATTCAATGTGTATCTTCAAAAGCATGCAGGCTAATTCCTACTGGCTTTCAGTTGGTGAGGATGTTGCTATACTGCTGCTTGCCAAAGATCTGACTTCTAGAGTCTTAGCACAGGGAGAATCTTCGAGAGTTAATGTTCATCTTAGTGACTCCAATGTGCTTGAGGGGAGTAGAAAGGGAAAAAGCAGCCCGTGGAGGGATGTTGCAGAGCAAGTCAGAGTCCTCATCACAGCCCTCTAGGTCAAATGTGGCATTATCCAACATCTCCTTATGTCTCTCACAGGTTTGTTCTATTTTCAGTTGTGAGATTCGAGACCTGAGCAGCATAAGTTGGCGGGCTAATTGGTGGTCCAAAGCCTGCATCTCTCGCTGTTGAAACAAGAAAACATAAAGAAAGAGCATGATATTATGTGCCTTTACTATAACATTGCTTGTAACATTACTGACAAAAGTGAATGGTAGCAGCCTTATACTAGTCATACAAAGCTCTAAGTCTCTTGTTCAGCCTCATTCTCTCATTCACACCAAGACAGCTTAGTTGGGGAAATCTCCACTGCTGGTTATTGTAGTCAGGCTGCTGTGGCACTTGCGTCTGATAGTATTCTGCGTCTGTTTGACTGATAATTTTCCACCCCATTCAGTTGATTTTTTAAATCAAATTTTTGTAGAACTATTTTTGTTGCAGGAGCCTGGAAAGCATTGCACCAGTGATCAGTAGATCCCTGGTGCCATGAAGGTCTCCTGCAGACCTGTCAGTATATCTGCTTGCCTGTACGAGATGTACAAGCAAGCAGATATACTAACAGGAAGACTCAATGAACTAACATGGTGCTCCACAGCTCCCTTGGGAGTTCATTGAGAACTACAAACTGACAGCTGCTAAGGCTGTCAGGTCTTGTAGTTTCTCATTCACAGAACACTGTGAATCAGTTGGGCAGGCAGACCCCACATGGCTGAGTTTTAAAAAAAAAAAGATTTTGACAGCTAGCGGGAGGAGATCTCCCACTAGCTGTTAAAGTGGAGGAGCAGTGGGGATAAGGGCCGGTCTACAAATAACATTGAATATGGGTGTAACATGTAACATGTTATGAAAGGTGAACTTAAAGTGGACCTCCACTCCCTCTCCCATCCCTGAATCACATTCTGAAAGGAATCACCCCTTTTTTTGTTGTTTGATTTTTTTGTCACATTTTCTAAAAGGCTGCAAGAGTAGTACAAACAGCGTCGGATAAGCAGAAAAGGCATGCATCATCATGTACTGGCTGCTTGAACCCAGAAGAGGCAGCCAGCTTATGATGAAGTAGATGGACCAAAAAGATGGTGGCATGAGAAGCTACATGACAGGAGAGAGGGAGAAAAAAAAGGCAGAAGGGAGTAAATCTGCTCTTTAGTGACTACTTGCTTGTACATCTGCCAGACACATACAGTACTAGATACTTTCACTTTTTTCTTTTTTTTTTTTGAAGAAAAGTTGGCACATATTTTAAACAGCTGCCAGGGATATAGCTAGGGTCCTTTAAAATTTGAGGCACCCCCTGACCCCGGGATTGAAAGCATAACAATGGAAACCAGGTGAAGTTGGGTTTTTTTTCTTGTCCACTTGATCTTCCCTCTCTTCATTCTTCTTCCCTTTCTTATTGCATTATTCAAATTATTGGAAAAGAATACACTGCAACCAGTGACGAACAAAAGTTTTCCAGTGTGCCCATTCCACAAAAGTCGATCTAATGTTTGACTTCTATCGCATAGGGAGGGCCATGTACAGATGGAATTTCAACCTGTCTCTGCTGAACCTGCAAAATTTTGATCCTTCTTTACCTAGTTTTAGCTAAAAAGGGCACTCAGAAGCAATTGTTGATTTTTATTTTTTCATTTGCCTGAAGTTTAGCTTTAAAGTAAACCTGATTTTGTTTAAATCGTCTCAGCAATATCTGTGCTGTCACCACCAAGTACCTAGGTCTAGGAATTACAGGGCTCTACAGAGGTTTCTGAATGCAAAAGACAAACAAAAAGAGGGCGCACCAGCCTAGTATATTATCATAAAATATATTTATTGAAAGAATAAAAAAGTAGGTATCATACTCACAATGGACATATAAAACATAGGCACATCACAATGAACAGTGGTGTTCAATCCATATAGCATCTGAGTCCACAACGATGGAACCCTGGATGACCAACTGGCCGAAACATTTCAAGGACTTAGCTTCTTCCCCAGGGCTGTTCATTGTGATGTGCCTGTGTTTTATATGTCCATTGTGAGTATGATACCTACTTTTTTATTCTTTCAACACATATGCGTGGGGCTGTTGTCAGCAGGTTAACCGCATGTCGACTGTGACAGTACTTTTTTCTGCAGACGGGTAGCAGGTACAGGCAAAGCAATGTACATGCACGTCGCTCTGCCAGCACTAACACAGGGGGGCGCTGCACGCCTTCCCCCTCCCCATGACCGCAACAGCTCTGGCTAAAGCGACATAACCTTACGTCACTTTGTATTTCAGGGTGTGCGTGTGTATTCGTGTGCCTCACGCTGTCTCCTATGCCATTCCAGGGAAAGAAGAGAGAACACCACAATGAATAAAAGCACAGCATTTTACACACACACACACACACACACACACATTATATGTATTTAGGGGTTCATGGTCATTTTCTATCAAAAAACTGTTTTTTATGTAAAGAAAAAGTGTCATAAAAGGCTTGGTCTTCAAGTGGTTAGTAGAGTGGGTGATGTGTGGCATAAGCTTCTAATGTTGGCCCTGAAATGCACCCCCCCCAACCCAAATGACCCCTTTTTGGAAATAGACACTCCAAGGTATTTGCTAAGGGGCATGGTGAATATTTTGCAGATTTAATTTATTGCCACAAGTTTTTGGAAAATCAAGAAAGAAAATAAAAATTTATTTTTTTCTTTTCTTTTTTTCTTTTTCAAAACCCTGTGGCAAAAAAATTGTGGCAAAAAATGAAAATCTTCCATAGACTCACCATGCCCCTTATCAAATTCCTTGGGGTTTATCCTTTCCAAAAAGGGGAAGTTGGGGGGGGGGGGGGGGGTGTTTGTTCTATACTGGGCCTACAAAACTGATAGATAGTGAGGAAGTGACCTGAGGAAATATGCCTTTTGAAAGTTTGAAGGTGGTCACTGGATTTTGGGGACCTGTATGTTGCTAGGCTGCCAAAAAGTCTATAACATGTGATATTCCCAACACAAGTAGCAGATTGTGTTTTGGGGTGTTATTCCACATATACCCATGGCATGTGTGAGCAATATATAATTTAAGTGACAATTTTGTGGTAAAAAAAATTTGTGTTGTCATTTTCCAAAATTTTTTTGAAAAACATAAAATCTTCCATGGACTCAACATGCCTATCCGCAAATTCCATGGGGTGTCTACTTCACAAAAAGGGGTTATTTTGGGGGGTTTTGTACTGTCCAGGCATTTTAGCATCTCAAGAAATGTTATAGGCAGTCAGAAAGTAAAAGCTACGTAAATTCCAATATATATACAAAAAAAACACATATAATGTAGTCTGTCACTAGTATTCACAAAGCAAAATCTTTGTTTTTCTCAGTTCTCCTGTAACTTTTGATCATCCTGTTATTTTTTAACTTCCTTTACCAAACCAAGCTCTGCAGCAAAACTGGAAGTTAGTTTAGAGACAAACCATTTATCAATGAAAGGGGTGCTTACAATGGTCATCTGGTTAGCTAAAACGTATGTCCAAAAAGGAAAAAAACTGGTTCAGTAATGGCTTCTCTGATTGTCTGATGATTGACTTCTGTTGAACAGGGAGGACCACACACAAATTGAAATTTAACTTTTTCAGCAGAGACCAATCCATTTATGCCCAGCTTCAGACTAGTGTGTTACTGGCCAAATTACCAAGTGAAAATAAAGTGATAATAAAGAAAAAAGCTTAGAAAGGAAAGGTAATGCAGCCATCACATGTATAGATTGCTAAGTTGCTATATATAATTTTTTTGGGGGATTTAATATAACTTTAGGATAAAAATATAAACTTTACTAGATGACTGCAGAGGGATGGAGCACATGTAAGGGTCTGTAAGGCAAAACTGAGTACATTCATTTGACAAGTGATTCAATGTAAAAAAAGCAAATCAAACATAAAACAGGACTATCTTTTAGTATCTATTAACAAATAATACCCAAAAGTAAAATAGAAAATGTCATAGCTAAAATTCTATTTAGAATTCTAAAAAAAAAATAATCAGTGAAAGATATGATTGCTAGTTAAAGCTCTACTGCACTTTTCACATTAATGTTTTCCTTATATATGTAAAATATTATAATATGGTAATGGGCAGTACAGTGGCTAAATGGTTAGCACTTCCACCTGGCAGTACTAGGGTCGTTGGTTCGAATCCCAGCCACGGCACCTCCTGCCTGGAATTTGCACGTTCTCCCTGTCTGCGTGGGTTTCCTCTGGGTACTCCCAGTTTCCTCCCACACTCCAAAGACATGCTGGTAGGTTAATTGGATCCTGTCTAAAACTGGCCCTCGTATATGAATGTGAGTTAGGGACCTTAGATTGTATACCCCTTGAGGGTTAGGGACTGATGTGAATATACAATATATATATGTAAAGCGCTGCGTAATTGACAGCGCTATATAAGTACCTGAAATAAATAATAATATCATAAAATAATAATGTGCCATTTCAATAAAAAAATAAAATGTTATACTTTGTACTTAATATATTAAAAAGTCAAGTAAAAGTACGGGATTACAGTATAACACAACAGCAGTATGTTTTTGGGGTAGAATATGTAGACTGCAATTGCTGACCTTGGAATGCTAGTTACTTGGCTACCATGCTGACTAGTTTTAGCACTTTCTGAAGCACATACCTGGATCAGTGACTCGGAAAGTTTTGATGCCAGAGACAGCCAAGCATCTAGTATTTTTAGAAGGTGGTCAACAATAGCAGTCTCTGTGTTTTGTTCAGTACAAATGTTCTTTAAATTATTTTTTCCTTGGGCTAACACTGTATAGAATCGTAGTTCTCCCAATCTTCACTCACCAGTTCTTTCCTAAGCCATTCCAAAGCTTCTTCCATAGAGCCGAATCCACACACGCTGTTTTTAGGGGTGTCCCTCTTTTTTTTTGTAGGGGGGCTTTCCTGGGTAACGGTCTTCATTCTTGCCCATGGGTGTGCCTGTACTCTTTGCGCCCACTCTTGATAGGATGGTCGACGGGTCTGCAGCTTCAGTCGGGCTGCCAAAGCCTTTACAGACTCTAAATCAGGAGCAATATCATCTTCCCCATCTTCACACAGCTCATTGAATCTCACTGTGGTGAAAGACATTGCTGAATAAAATGAGAAGTTAGAAAGGCACTAAAAGGTGGGGTTAGTTGTCAGAATCAGAAGAGATGCTTTGTTAATGCCAAGTCATGTGAAGAATTAAGCATGAGAACAGCTAAAGGACTGACGTATTAACAAAGACTTTTCTGAGTGCACAGGCTGGCTTCAGTGTGATGTCTCCTAAAGCCACTTTGCTCTAGAAGTCTGGCCTCTTACTTTTATAAGTTGCACTGTTTTATTATTATAACTGCATGATCCTCCCACATTTGCAGGAAACTGCACCCTGTAGATACGTTTATCCAAGGTTCAGGAGAACAATACCAGAATCTCCTGAGTGGCAGCATGCAGAGGAAAGGTTATTAACTCTCATCAACTACGATCTATTTAAAGATGACCCTGTTCTCCTTTATACACTAATAGAGAGGAAAGGGAAGGGATGGGGTAGGATGATGTGAGCAGAACATTCCAAGGTTATCAGGATTTGGAATACTGTACGTTTTATGGATGGATAACTAAAACATAAAACAGTTTACCATTGTATGAATGAAGAATACTGGAATAAAAACACATGTTTTGGGACAGAGCAGACCAAATAAGCTGGGGTTACTGCTGCCATGTGTTGGCCCCCCAGATATGCATACAAGAATGTTTATGTCTTTTGAATAAATATTGGGCCTGGAAACCCATACCCCAACATTTCTAAAACTGGAAATATACATCTTGCCTACATTCAACGTGCAGTAAACTCAATTTATGGATCAGCAATACCCATAGAAGTCCTTGTGGCTTTCCTGGGGCTTGGGGGACTGGCTGAGCTCTGAAAAGGGTTTGTAAAAAACTTCACCCCTTGCTATGTTCATTGTCCCCCACTCAATCGTTCTTCCCATTTTAAAAGATACCATTTGATGACTTTGAAAAATATGCACTACTTTATCTTCATCAGTCCACAAACACTAGCAGTTAATTTGTGGCAGATGAATGGGTCACAGGGGGAGCAATGGTTAAAGTGGTTATTATTATTATTATAATGTTACATGTTACAGTGTTGCGCGAACTATTGGCGCTTTATAAATACTGAATAATAATAATAATTATACTGGATTTATATAGCACCAACAGTTTGCTCAGCGCTTTACAATATAATGGGAGACAATACAGCAACAATACAGTTCAATACAAGATGGTTAGGAGGGCCCTGCTCCTCGGAGCTTACAATCTAAGAGGGGATTATAAAGGCAGAATATCTTATAGACACATAGAGGTGGGTAGGGATCAAGCACACAGGTGCGTGACAATAGGAAGCGGCTTCCTATGATGACACACTAAAAAGTTTAGCAGTCTGCAGTGTCAGCAGGGGGCTCAAAAAGAAGAGGATCGGGGCTGCTGTGTGCAAAACCATTGCACAGAACAGGTATGTATGACATTTCTTATTGTAAAAAGAAGAAAAAATAAGTCTTTACAATCACTTTAAGTAAGTATATAGTGCTAGGAAAGTTGGATTAAAGATAACCTGTTTCTTTACCCTCCATGGGCAAAGCACATGTTCTTTTAAAATATTCTATTTATTTTTCTCCAAAACATGAAATGTAGAATTTGACTGGTGGCCTTGAGAAAAAATATAATCACCTTTTGTCACACTTACCCCTAACACAGGTGGTCTGGCACTATAGCTGGCTTCTGTGTTCTTCACCTATAGCTGCTGCCTTTCCCATAAGACAAGCAGGACCACCAGTACTCGGCTGCCCCCAGGGCTTATACACAATGCTCTTGTGCCCAGCTACCATGCCACTGAGTACAGAAAACAGATACTTGCGGCTGGAAGACAGGCAGACTGGTTCAATGACAGTCCAGGTACAAGGCAGGCAAGGTTCAGGGTAGTCAGGGTTTGATCTGTAGTCAAAAGGCAGGCAGAGTTCAGACAATAGTCGATATCATACACAGGGAAATTCAATCAGTGAAGCAGACAAACGGGGAGCTTGGAGCACATGTTACAAATGCAATATCACAAGCATAAGAGTGCAGGCTTGGCTGGCTTAAATCATGTTTGGTTTCCACCTAGAGACTGTCCACCTCAATCACCTTGCAGGTAGACAGATAGGGAGAGTGCATCATAGACAAAACCAGGATGCTGGAATGAGACCAGAAACTGTGATGGATCAGTAGCGCTAGATGCTCCTGACACTTTTGTGATGGCTGATTCCAAACTACTTTTTGTAAAAAGTACATAGGAAATATACAGCTGGAAACTACGTTTTAGTTCAAGTGCACAAAAATTTGAGATGTGTTTACTATGAATTTGCGAATGGGTTTAACATGCATTTCATTGGTCACATTGAGGAATATATCTGCAACCTGTCTATGTCCAGGGGTGCACATCCATACCTGTGTGCATGTAAACCAGTGTTTCTCAACCTTTTTCCAGTCTGGGCGTCCTTGAAAAGTATTTTCAGTCACGGGGCACCCCTGTCCAGGGCTTGGTTCACGTTACTGTGTGTCGCGGAATCACGCTCATTCCTGGCACGCAGACAAATTCTCTGCTCTTTAGGGGTACCCCCATACATTGGCAAATGTGGGGTGTTTTTGGTGTTATACAATTTTAAAAGGTCAGAGACAACTTTCCCTGCATTTCTGTGGGTAAGGCAGCCCATTGAAATGAATGGGCTGCCCTACACACAGCCACACAGATGTGAACCAAGGGCCTGTTCACCTGTGAGGTTGGAGGGCGGTAAAACCACACACACAATTGAGGAGGGTGGTAAAACCACACAATTAAGCTGCTTTTACCACCCCTTTTACCAACCCCAACTGCTCCCCCTTTAGCTGCAGAAACAGCAGCTGGGGGAATACACATGCTGTTGCCGCAGCTGGAAGTATACCTATAGGTCAATGGGATTGAACTACAACCACCCCGCAACTGTGTGCACATTGCACACAGTTGTGGTGTGGTGGAAACTGCAGGTAATGCGCACAAAAGAATCCGTGCTGCACCCACACTGTGGCCAAACTGCAGCTGGCCAACATGTAAGCAAAATACAAAATAAAAAGAAGTACAGTATAAAATTTTAGAAAGTAATGAAAACCACAAATAGTGTAATACTGTAGAAGGTGAAGCAGAATTTATTGATTTCCCTCCTGATTCTTGAAGTTGTGCTCACAGCACACTCATGTTCAGCACAAGCTGGGTCTCTTGTTACTGCTTCCCTGCTGAACATGAGTGCGGTGTGAGCACAACTTCAAGAATCAGGAGAGAAATCAATAAATTCTGCTTCACCTTCTACAATATTACACTATTTGGAGCTTCTGCTTATATTTTATGAGAGTTACTGGCCATACTTACGGTACTACGGGAAAGAGGTCTGCCATTACATATACCAGTCTGAATGAGGGATGTCATCCAGGAGAAAGTGACGCAGTTATGGAGGAGCTTTATACATGAAGGATCCATTGCTAGAGATCCTAAAAGCGTTGTGACCCTATGCGGGGAGGTGAGCGCACATTTTTTCCATTAGTGGGTGCCCTCTTGTCACCCTCTGCACACATCACTCAAGTTCACAAGATTTCATATTTTATGTGTATTGCACCCATTTTGGACATTTTTGTGTTATATCAGGGTGTGTTAAATATACAGTGGGGCAAAAAAGTATTTAGTCAGCCACCAATTGTGCAAGTTCTCCCACTTAAAAAGATGAGAGAGGCCTGTAATTGGCATCATAGGTAGACCTCAACTATGAGAGACAAAATGAGAAAAAAAATCCAGACAATCACATTGGCTGATTTGGAAAGAATTTATCTGCAAATTATGGTGGAAAATAAGTATTTGGTCACCTACAAACAAGCAAGATTTCTGGCTCCCACAGACCTGTACCTTCTTCTTTAAGAGGCTCCTCTGTCCTGCACTCATTACTTGTATCAATGGCACCTGTTTGAACTTGTTATCAGTATAAAAGACACCTGTCCACAAACTCAAACAGTCACACTCCAAACTCCACTATGGTGAAGACCAAAGAGCTGTCGAAGGACACCAGAAACAAAATTGTAGACCTGCACCAGGCTGGGAAGACTGAATCTGCAATAGGCAAGCAGCTTGGTGTGAACAAATCAACTGTGGGAGCAATAATTAGAAAATGGAAGACATACAAGACCACTGATAATCTCCCTCGATCTGGGGCTCCACGCAAGATCTCACCCCATGGGGTCAAAATAATTACAAGAACGGTGAGCAAAAATCCCAGGACCACACACGGGGGGACCTACTGAATGACCTGCAGAGAGCTGGGACCAACGTAACAAAGGCTACCATCAGTAACACACTACGCCGCCAGGGACTCAGATTCTGCAGTGCCAGACGTGTCCCCCTGCTTAAGCACATGTACATGTCCGGGCCCGTCTGAAGTTTGCTAGAGAGCATTTGGATGATCCAGAAGAGGATTGGGAGAATGTCATATGGTCAGATGAAACCAAAATAGAACTGTTTGGTAGAAACACAACTCGTCGTGTTTGGAGGAGAGAGAATGCTGAGTTGCATCCAAAGAACACCATACCTACTGTGAAGCATGGGGGTAGCAACATCATGCTTTGGGGCTGTTTCTCCGCAATGGGACCAGGACGACTGATCCATGTACAGGACAGAATGAATGGAGCCATGTATCGTGAGATTTTGACTGCAAACATCAGCAAGGGCACTGAAGATGAAACGTGGCTGGGTCTTCCAACATGACAATGATTCCAAACATACCGCCCGGGCAACGATGGAGTGGCTTCGTAAGAAGCATTTCAAGGTCCTGGAGTGGCCTAGCCAGTCTCCAGATCTCAACCCCATAGAAAACCTTTGGAGGGAGTTGAAAGTCCGTGTTGCCCAGCGACAGCCCCAAAACATCACTGCTCTAGAGGAGATCTGCATGGAGGAATGGGCCAACATACCATCAACAGTGTGTGCCAACCTTGTGAAGACTTACAGGAAACATTTGACCTCTGTCATTGCCAACAAAGGATATATAACAAAG